CGGATACCATCACACCGAGGCTGTACCTTGACGTGGTGTGATGGCTTGTGCACCTCTCTAACCTAACCACCTATTCAGGATGGCTTTTTTCACGCCAGGAGATCTAATCATGCCTGGAATGTCGAAGGGGAGAGGTTAGACGAAGTCCAGTCTCTTGTTCCTCCAGATTGGAGTTTCGACTCGAGTTAGCGTCTCACACTCCGTAGAAATGATGGAGGCGTAATCGATCCAAGTAAATGGGCCTCTACTTCGCTATACCCGCTGCCTTGCGGTCAGGGTTTTGAAGGCTTTGAATGAGAACCCTAATCGTTTCCATGCTTAGTGGCTAGACACAGTGGTAGTTCCCGTCCATCAAACTCAAATGCATATACACATGGGGTTACCAACTCACTGGGCTATTGTGTGTGGCCGTGGAACTTTATTATCTCCGTTTTGGTGGCTGACAAATTTGACTTGAATCTGGGTTGATAACAATGGACTTCACTTAATGAGGTCTACGAAGTTAAGAAATTAACTATTGCCGGACTTGTTTTCCCCCACATTGATCAAGGTCATTTTGTGTATTTTTTACTAATTTAATCACATCAGTTAGGCGCACCGGACAGCTGCTGACAAACACTAACATTGACCGGGACACAGATCGCAAGCACGCATCACACAGATAAGGTTGTCTGAGAGGTGGAAATTAAAGACAATTCCGCCAGTGAAGTTCTTGTACGGCTAGAGCAGTTTCACGCTCACAGCGTAGCTACGTTATGACGGTTTCTACTCGAGTTCAAGATCCACGTTTTGGGCAGTTCCGACACACCCCCGGCCACTCGGGAAAGGATTCGCACTACCCGTTTGACTAATGTGACCTTTTTGGAGCTTGTCAGATGCATACGCCTACCCCGTTTCGACACACAGATATTTCACAGATTAGGATTTTTTCTCACGCTCAACAACCTATATCTTAATCTCACGTAATATTGAAAAAAAATTTTGTCTAAAATTCCGTCCTATTACTCTATGCTTTGCGTAATTCTCTCTCTCACATACACCGAGTATATTTTAACCTTTTCCGAACTTCCATTTCCGTTTCGATGGGTTCTTATTTACTGATTTTATCTACAAGAGCGTGGATTAACGATACTTTCGGTTTATTCTGTTATTATCCACACAACATCTTCCCAAGGAATTCCTTATCGACAACTTGGTGGAATTTTCTTCCAGCCAAATACACTTATCCTGTCGCTTACCTGTCTCCATCTTCTGTATCCATGGAAAATTCGGATCTTGTGCTTGTGTCTCGGGAATCCGTTCTACTTGTTCTCGAGTTTCCCAAACCAGAATCCGTGCCCGTGCTGCTACCACTACCTCCGGTTGCCGTATTCGCAGCGGTTGCGGCGCTCATTTGTTTCAATCGCCGTAGAAATCCTTTGGTTCGGGGCAATTCGTCTGTCACAAAATCGGACAAATGGGAGCCGGGTGAGCTCGTAGTCGGGCTGATGACACCAGTTCGATCGACGACTTCCGGCGCATTTGAGGCAGGAGGAGGTGGTGGTGGTGGTGGGGAATCGATCGCGGATCGCATAGCGTCAGCGGCATCTGTCACTTCACTGCGAGCTCGAGGTCGCTGGGGCGGTTTGTGCGGATTGCTATCGGCATCGACAGCCTCGGGAAAACTGAAACCAACACGCATTGGGCGTGGGCGATCCCCGCGAACCGGAGAACTGGTGGTGAAGCGCTTCATAAAACGTCTCTCGAAGCCGGGATGAGAAGGCGGGGAACAAGGGCCTGTTTCGGAACGATGCGCGTGGTTGGATTCGTCGAGCAATGATGATCGGGTGAGATTTTCAATTCCTGCCAATATCCGATATTTTTCCACTTCTTGTTCCAGCGCTTCTATTCGATCAGTCAACTGACAAACTTTCATGACTCCTTGATTTTTAACCTGAACGCAAATAAACCAACGGTTCGGATGATCGTAGCGTGTAGATTAAAATAATGGCAGACTTGACTACTGCTGTGGTTAAAATGAATCAATACGTATTGGCCCGCATAGCTACTACACTCGTGTATCAGGCTCAATTCAGTGACACAGTCTAAACATCCTTGAGTTGAAAACGAAACAAAATAAACAATGAGGTAACACCTGTAAATAAAGACAATGAATCCATTAGATCCGCTATAAGTTCGCTTTGTACTGACTTTGTCAAGTGCTTTAGTGTGATATCTTTGACCTACGAGATGACGCACACGACGGAGCGATCCGTTACAGTTATTGGACAACTGAAATGAATCCAGCTTTCCAGGTGAAGTTGGCAATGCGCACACCTGTCACAGCTTCTGGACCACATACCATAGGTCGATGGCATCAACAATCAAAAACCGTGCAGCCCATACAGAAGTTGGACAATGCCAGAAATACCAAAACGCGATTGGCAGAGGCATAGATGACCAATGATATTGTGTTGCACATATTGTTTTAGTCCCCCTTATTTCTTTCCACAAACGAACTACTACTCCTGTGGCCTCTTCCTCGCGCCTCGGTTTCGTGGGATACTGTCGTGCTAGTACCAGTGTGGTCTGGTGCTTACGGCTCGGTCGTGACCGCTAATCTTTGCGTCGTATTGCGTTGTTCATATTCCGAGTTCACTACGTAATACAAATACTACAATTACTACATTGAGATACCAAAATTCTAGGGTGACTGAATATTTTCCAAACTTCATCTTCACAAACTCAGTCCTCAGTCAACCCAGGGAGAATCTTACAGTTAGAAATGAGTTTGACTCTTTCTCGAGAGAGAGATTTTTGTCTAACACATGGTAATTCAGTGATTCAATTGTAATGTGCAACTCCTATCTTGTGAAAGGTGTGAGTGATCACTGCCAGCTCACACACACACTAGATCCGTTCGGATTCATTTATACAGGTTTATTTGATCTGAAGGATTTGAGACAAACAAGTCATTGGGAGGATTCTGTATTCACGCGTCTAACCTCAAATCCACTCCTCGAGCTGCAAATGAGGTTTGCACTGTATAATTCACATCGGGAGTTCAGGTATAAGAATGACAAGACAGAAGATTGCCAGCTAGGCATACCTGACGAGTGGCATGGACCCCGAAACTGGTTGTGTTTGCCGAAAATTTTGTCCAGCCATTCATATACTACTCATCACAAAATTACTATTTTTAGCAGATAGATTTGAGCGATCCTATAAAAATTTATTCTGATAGCCAAGGTAAAAAAAATCACTCCTAACTTGTAACCACTCTTGAGAGGTCTACAGCTGACTGATGCTTTACCGATGGACTCTGAGAAGAACCGAACTTGAGCATAGTGACTTCTTTGAGTGTTTAGTTAAATAGATGGTTCAAGGATTGGATGTAGGGCATAGTGGTTGCCAGTCTAAGATCAAATGACGATAAAGCGTTGCTGTATGTGAACCTAATCAATGGTTCTATTCCTCTCCCTAATTGATCGTCGCGTTGCCATGCAAACTGATATCTTTCTCGGAAAGCCTTCGATACAATTTCGGCGATAATAAGAAATACGGTTCACCTGATATACAACAACAGGGGAGTACAGGCATTGACCAAATGCGTGCAACAACTTGATTTCCATCACATTTGTTCATCTCAATGGTTCCTTTATCCAGCCACTTTGACAGGGGTTGAATATGTAATCGCCCCACATCAGACGCAACATATCTGATATAATCGCCATTTATGTCTTTGATTCTGTTGGCCACATGCCATTAAAAATGTACGATGTTGCGATTTTGACGATGGTTTCTGGTGCACCAGTTGTAAAAATCACAGTGAAAACGTAGTAAGAATTTATTTATCGAAATGACTGGTAGACCTGATACAGGTATTGTACTTTCATCTCGTCCATATTCCACTTGCCCTTCTTTATATTTGAGCACTGGAAGCAGTCACTTTAGCATGGAGTCCACCAAGTTGACTACCTAACAGAATTTGCAAGTTTCCTTTAATACACCACTCACCCTAACCATTGACGACTAATGTCGAAGCAAACAACTTATCCCTGCTTCTGATACAGGGAAAAGCTTTTGATTAGATTAAAATCCCATCTGCTGCGCAGTAATCGAATGAATCTGGCCTTAAACTTCACCCCTTCAATGACTTCATAAATGTGAAAATATAATATTCCATGACGTCTAACCCTTTTTACTGCAAACGTCAACCGAGAAGATGTACCAAACTTCATCTGTGAAAAATATGACTGAAAAATATGAATGCATTTGAAGAGAAGCAGTTATCGAAAAAACCTTTTCAGTGCCAAACATTTGGTGATATCCGGATAGATATGTGTTGGAGATCACTAACAAGGCAATCTCTATTTACGTGTTTTCCAACTGGTCAGGCGGGATGAATATTTACTTCTTTTGACAGGTGAAACGAAATTCCTTAGAAAACTAGCTCAACGGATCAGCTTTCACCATATGCTGAATTACTGATTGGCCACCAGTGAGATCAACCCACTACCAAATGGACGGACTACGCGATTTGAATTTGCTGATAAAATCCATACATGCCTTGCTTTGTCGGGGATTTCATAACGGCTTTATATTACGTGGTCTCAGCTGCACTTTGAATCGAGCCATCATTTTCCAAACGAAAGCGTGAGGGAAAAAAACGGCTAATCAACCCGGACTATCTTCCATGCTACGATCAAATACAATCAGCGTCTTGCTTTGATATAATTGCTTTTCTCCCTCCAGTTTTATGTCTTGATGAAGAAGTTTTGTTGAATATGCAACGAATTGGCATTATATTCACATTAAATCGCGTCAACAAGATACCAACTGAGCCATCGGAAATATGCGCCTCTCGATTAAGTTGCCCCTAGGCTGCAATCTTATGCCAAAACCTTTTGAATATGTAATCCGGTTTGGGCATGGTGACACTAAAGGACACTTATTCAACGGGCCGCTTACCTGAAGGTTCACTTCCGAAGGTCAACTTGTGTGTTTCTTGCAACAGGAATCATCTATTAAAAAGAATGAACTCGTATGCTGCTTTGTCAAAATGATTTTCCAAATCAGAGCTGTAAATTTTGAACTACTACAAATTTTATCCCGTGACACTCCAGTTAACGCAAATTCAAACTATGATAGGAGAGAATTGGAAGCATTGGAGTGAGAGATAAACTCAAGAACGAATACACATTACCCATAGCCACCAATACACAATTATGATATTGGAGACTGAGAGGTATTTCCAAAATAATAGTCGTGTTGCACGAGTTTGATCAATATCCGTTTACATGACTATCCGGGTAAAAAAAATCTATTGATAATTGCATTTGACAATTTCGCTTTCGTTCGGCAACGCCAGCTTGGGTCTGATGATTTGTATTGTGTTGGTAACCGCTAGGGAATGCGTGATAGTGGGAAAGATGACAGCTCAAACTGCATATTCGATGTCCTTTTAGAACGAGTGCAAATTAAGTTACCACCTGTAGTATACTAATAGCGGGAACTGATCATTCGAGGTATTATTTTGATCGGTCAAACAAATTGGGACCAGAATTATGTTGACAATAATGAAACCACGAACCGGATATTAGTCGGTCCAGACCAATGTGTTTTGATAAACCGGTCCCTATTTATGATCAGTTCCCTGTGTGTGTGTGTGTGTGTGTGTGTGTGTGTGTGTGTGTGTTGACCTTTCTCACATCATCCTAATTGGTGGTGAACTGCCCTGGATTTGAAACAGAGAGTCGCGCCAAGAACTTTACTCCCACTTCCCAATCCAGGTGCGGGACTGTCTTCACCTCGAAACAAAGAAATATGACAGCATTGGTGAAAGTGCACCAGCTGTTGCTGTTGCTGTTGCTGCTCCGGGGAATAGCTACCGTCTCCATTAATTCAGTGATTTTCATTTTTTTCAGTATCGGTGTGACGGCGCTACAGTAAGAGTGAATCGTCCTCGAATGCGTGTTCACCAAACTGCATTCTATCCAGCAAAACAATTCAGTTTACTAGACAGCTGCCACAGCCATCGGGATTAGTTTAGCCACAATTTTCTAATCGAGATATCATTGTGTTTCAAAATTACCTGTATGCACCAATTTTCACGAAAAATCAATGCAAGTGGCTGGCTACAAGGTTGTCAGATTGGCCGTGTGGTTCGAACGCACAAACTTCCGTGCAATCCAGTCCCGATGTATCAAACCCCTCACTACCACTACCATCAACACCACCACCCCACACCCACCACCACCACCATCACCACCATCCTCACCGCCATCACCACCAAAAACAACAATAACAAAAAAATAACCTCCACTGAGAATGTTGTGCGTGCGTGGTTGAACTAAACTAATGAATACAGATCCGGCATCACACACCCAATCGCTTTTGCTTATGTTTCTGAGAGAAATATTCTGGAAATTGGTAATTACAATAAGTGGAGACAAACAAGCAGATGTACGTAATATGTCCCGTGGGAAATATAGCGCTGTTGCGGCAGTCCGCTATCGACAGTGCGTTTTTGCACAACCGAACGCTAGATGAATTTCGTTCCGTAATAAACCAGGTAGAATATTTTCCCCCGGCGGGGATGAGATGAAGCAAAACCGAAAGTTAATTGAACGAGATAGCTGCATCTATGCTCACAGATACGGGCACCGGAGACACCAAGTCTTAATGACGTATGCGGAGTGCAAAAGTGGGAAAAGAGGTTTTTACTCCGTTCCTAATGCTTTTCTTCTGAATGATTGTTTTAGTGACAATCGCCTGTTAACTTGCCACGAACTTGAGAACACCATGGTTGTCGAGACATGGCGGTCAATTAATTATTGCCAAGGAGGATGTGCTTTCAAACTCCATCAATATCGCTTGACTACCCTGTTCTTTGTGTGATGTATAGCATCTATCTGATTGGTCACTTTCCCCTTC